CCTTGGCCCATGCACTAGAGGATGGAAGGAGGAGAAGCCGTGCGGCAGGATCATCGTTCCCATCGCGTCAGGGAGGTTGCAGCAGCTACAGTTCGCGACCGCAACAAAGGATACAGCCCTAGGTGCTATGGCTGTGGGGAAAGGGGCCATCTTCGATCCAGCTGCCCTAAGCGAACCGTAGAAAGGGAAGTTGATCGATCTCCAGAGGGTAGTGCAGCTAACGGCACCGCCTGGGGGCGGCAGGATCATCGTTCCCCTCACGCTAGGGAGGTTGCAGCAGTTACGGTTCGCGACCACAATAAAGGATACAGCCCTAGGTGCTATGGCTGTGGGGGAAACGGGCCATCTTCGATCCGGCTGCCCTAAGCGAACCCTAGAAAGGGAAGGTGAACGATCTCAGAAGGGAAGTGCGGCTAACGTCACCGCCCAGCAGCAGCAGGAATACGACTTTACAATCAGACATCGCAGCGGGAAATCTCATGACAACGCAGATGCATTGTCAAGAAGACCTTGTCCTGAAGATTCCAAACATTGTACTAGGCAAGAGAGTAAGGAAGTGGTATCTGTGAGGATGCTCAGGACAGACCACCTCAGCAACGAGTGGAAGGACAGCCTACAACATGCACACCAGGAAGATCTGGACATCAAGCCGATTCTGGAATTGATGAAGGCCCGTGCTACCAAGCCTAAGTGGAGCGAAGTCTCAGCGATGAGTTCGACCACTAGAAGCTATTGGGCCCAATGGGACAGCTTGCTGATTCAGGATGGAGTCCTGTGCCTTAAATGGGACAATGGTCGAGGAGACAGCTGTCGTTTACAAATGGTTGTCCCTAGAGCTAAAGTGCCGAATGTTCTACAGCTGCACCATAATGGTTGTTGAGGAGTCCATCTGGTAGTTAAACGAACTCTACTGAAGATCCGAGAACAGTTTTACTGGGTCCACTATCGTGACGATGTCGAGGATTGGTGTCGCACATGTACAAGTTGTGCGGCTGTGAGGGGACCTCAGACACGTAGTAGAGGAGCATCGAAATTGTACAATGTTGGTGCACCATGGGATAGGACAGCCCTTAACATTGCGGAGCAGCAGGGGGTTTGTTGTCTTTTTTTGTAACAATATTATGGTCACCTTAAGTTTTGCCGCCCTATAAAACCAACACAAATATTAAGAGAAAAATAGCAAACAAGCTTTGGCAATAGTTGATATCTATATGTACTACCAAAGATATTATTAAAATAGATAAGAGAGTACTAGTACGGAAAATTATTATAATTATTATATAAAGCATAACATAAGCAGACCTATTCTTACGTATTACAGATATTGAAGATTTGGTTCGTCCAATAAAAGTAAGAAGTTAAGAAGTGTTTTAATGCTAAACACAAATTGCTCACATAATATGATGAAATTTATAGTAAGCTCTTAACCAATATTATATCGTCTGATTATAATTTCGCGTACATCTTAACTAGGTACCTACATAATATGCAGTTGCATTTGACGACACGCTTTAGGTGCGAAATCTATCTGAGCACTGGGCTATACATGGAATAAAAAAACATCAATGTTCTAAGCATAAATAACACAATCTCCAGATGTGACTTAACCCGAACAAAGAGCTTGCAGCTATTGCCTTTCATTCATGGCTCACAGAAACTTCGCTAAATTATTTACCACTATTCTTGTGCGTATTAAATATTTTGGCTGATAATAATGTGACGTTTGATAAGGCTGCATGGGTAAAAATCCTTTTGTCTATAGGTGCGCTTACACGGGCAACTAAAATTGCTCAATTCCAGTCAATACTCTTCAACTATGACGTCACGACTACTTCAAGCAATTTACGGCAACGGCAACAAGCATCAATACTGGGCAATACAATATTGAGCGATATGGCGCAACTTTATCAACTAGGCAATACTGTCCTACACGAGCATTTCAGTATTCGCTCGCTATGGACGACATTGTCCTTGCTGCGCAGGGCTTGTAGCGCTTTTTTTATTATTAATCAAAAACAAAAAAGATAGAAAAGGAATGGACGTATCTGGGTGCGATCGTTTTTGGCAAAGAGGCCGCAATTTTCATTGTGTAAAGAATTAGATGATATATTATTCAAAAACTTTACTAGAATGTAATTTTAATCGAACACCGCAACGATGAAAAACGAAAAATCGTTGTAGTACAGTCTCAAATCCGGGACCTCACATGTTCAATCCCTCAAGGTAATGTCTTAGGATGCCTATTGTTTTTAATATATATAAACGATTTACCCAAGATAATAAATAACGAAAACACATTAAGCGTACTCTTTGCCGACGATGTGTCAGTGTTAGTGAACTGCGATAAAAACACAAATTATAACTATATTGTCTACAACACTCTACAAACTATAACAAATTGGCTTGAAGATCACAACTTAGAAATTAACTTTAAAAAGACCAAAATTATGCAATTTAAAACATATAAAAGCAGCCCATTAACTTTAAACATAAACTTTAATAATATACAACTAGAAGAAGTTGATACTTTTAATCTTTTAGGGTTGAAATTAGATTCAAACATCAATTGGAAAACGCACATTAATTATATAAAGTCTAAAATTTCAAAATTTACGTATGCTTTATTTCAAATTAAATACACCACTGACACAGCCACGGCATTGTCAGCTTACTATGCCTATGCTCATTCGTGGCTTAAGTACGGAGTTATGTTGTGGGGAAGTAGCGTCGATGTGCTGCAGCTTTTTATTACCCAGAAAAAGTGCGTTAGAATACTAGCCCAGATAGATAACACTACTAGCTGTAGACCGTATTTCAAACAACTAAATATTCTTACCTTACCCTGTATGTACATTTATGATCTATGCCTGTTTGTCCACAAAAATAATAATAGTTTTAAGAAAATTAAAGATACGACAAAAATAAATTATACCTACCACAGTCGCGAACAAAAATGTTAAATACAAGCCCCTACTATATGGCAATAAAAGTATATAATAAATTACCACAGGAAATAAAAAATATATCAGAATTAACCAAATTTAAATCAAGACTCGGTAAATATTTAAAACAAAACCCCTTCTACTCAGTAGAAGAGTATTTAGATAAAAAATAACACTATTATATATTTTTATATCTTTTATAGCTTTTAATTTTATTTTATTTTATGTATGTTAATAGTATATAAGCAGTGCCCTTGTCAAATTTGCAGTGCCTGAAAAGGGCGTCTAAGTTGTAAGCACATTTTTAATTTAATACCAATTATGTACACTTAGATTGCAAATAAATGATTTGATTTGATTTGATTTGACCTCTCGCTCTCTCCGCGGAAGCAAGACGGCAAGCCGCAAAACAAACAAGTGCGAATGAGATATATACAAAAATTGCTAGGAATTTCCAAGCCCATTGGATATTCGTCAATTCGTATTTGCGACACTGAGCGATATGAAATATCTGGAGCAATTAGAAGCAATATCGCCGAAATAATTGCCGCAATTTGCTCCATTGCTTTGAAATTGCTCCATTAATTGCTCCAGATCTGTCCATTCGTGTCGCCGAGCAATTATTGCCCTGGTGTAAGCGGACCTTAAATGAGAAACGTAATAACCAGCATTGCCAACATGTGGGGAATTCCCTAAATTGTGGGGAATCTTTACTTGATGGGGGATTTTTCGGGGATAGGTTTATGCGGTGAAAATACAGGGATTTCGAAAATCAGAGGCGGAGGTCAAGTAAAAACCATTTTTCAAAAAATCTAAACACATATCTTATAATTTTTGTTTTGTTACTAATGGATATCGAAAGTGTCTCTTTTTTCAATTATCTTCATAGCACATTTAATTTTCGGATTTATTTTGGCAACTTTTGTGTATCGTTTTTTCATTTCTTTATTTTATTTTTTTTATTTTAAGCAGAGAACCGCGTTCATATAAATGCAGATACTGTGGTACATTTTAATGGCAACAAAGAAAGGAATTAAAAACACTCCATGGAGTAAAACGCTTGTTACTAAAATATGGAAAACGTGTGAAAAAAAATTCGGCAAAAAAAATAAAAAGTGTAAGTCAAAAAATAAATCTTATAAATTGAAACTTTTAGTCTATAGTAGAATTCGTGGGGAACCTGTTAATTTTTTCCACAAATTGAGATATTTGACTTGCACTTGGAATTTGACAAATTAGCAGCGCTGCCAACGTGTGGGGAATCCTCCAAACTGCAGGGCACCTCAATATGATTGAGGATTGGTATTATGCGGGGTAAATGTGTATGTGATATTGAAAATCAGTAGCTCGTACCAAGTCAGAAACCTATTTTAGGAATCTTAATACTTATATTAATATTTTTGTGAGGTTACTTATAGATATCGAATGATTTCCTCTTTTTTAAATGTCTTCATTGCATCACATTTAATTTTTGGATTTATTTTGGCAACTTTTGTGAATGCTCAAATTTTATGCAAAAAACATTCATTTATCTCTTAATACTTTTGATTTACTTTATTTTTCAATATTTTAAAGCAGAAACCGCATACATATAAATGCAAATACTGTGGTACTTTTAAATAGTAACAAGGGAAGGAATTAAAAAAACTCGATGGAGTAAAATGCTTGTTACAAAAATAAGGAAAAAGTGATTTCCGTATTTTTTTCAGGCAAAAACAAAAAAAAATTAAGTTCAAAAAACTAATCTTATAAAATTGGTTTTAGAAATTAAATTTTGTTTTGTTTCATTTCTTAAAATAAAGTTGAGAGGAATTTGTGAGGAATCTGTTGAATTTTTGTCACCAAATTGGGGAATTTGACTTGGATTTAAGGGGAATTTGACAAATGGTCATAGCTCCTAGTCGTACCACAGACAGAAAAATGATATTATGATTTTTGTGTAAAGAACTAAAGAAATTGAAGATATTTATCATTTTTTTTCTTTTACAAAGTATGAATGATTGTAGGATTTGTCTCAAATGCGTAGGAGACAAGGATATTTTTAAATTAAATGTGGAAATGCGTGGCAAATCAAAAAGTTTCCTAGACATATTGTTGTTTTGTTTAGATATTGTTGTGAGTGAACTGTACTTCAGTGATATTTTTGAGCCTCACATTTTTATGTATTATGTTGCGTGTTTTTTTAGGTTACAAAAGAATGTAAAGTTGGCACAAAGTTGTGTTTAAAATGCTATAAAAAAATACTTTCATTTGAAAAATTTAAGTCGCTTGCCCTGAAAAATGATGCCTATTTGCGGTCTTTAAATTTAAACTTAGACATAAAGAATGAAGTATTCCTCATAGAAAACATAAAATATGAGAATAGCGACAACGAATTTAGTAACAACAATACTGAAACTGAAGATGTGAAAGATGAGAAGAATTATGAATCTATTCAATCTGATGATGAGCTCCTTAGTGTTATAAAGCAGATTAAGTATGAAAATATTACTGAAGAAAGCAAGGAAAATGGTATGAAAGAAACTTAATATCTACAAATCATGCTCTAACACTGTACTGATTCAATTCATTATGAAAAACAAAATGTGCTTAACATATGTTAACTTGTAAAGAATTAATAATAATTATTGCCGTATGTCAAACCTACTCACTCTTTTTTCATCATGCATAATGCATGACCTTGGCCTGACGTACAGCAAGATGGTCATCAGATGACCATTTTTTGCTTAAAAGCAATAGTGTTTGTTTGAATGGTTAGAATGCATTCCTCTTTTGTCCTAGATCACAATGCATCTGTAGCCTATTTTGGTTTGTTGAATTATGTACGTTTCTAAGTACTGATGAGAGATGAGAATGAACAGAAGTTGTTTATTATCTGAGAAAATGTAAAAACATAATGACTTAAAGTTATAGATCCCTTACAGATAGTATAAAGTTGAGAAGTTGGCTATTATGGAAAGCACTTTTTTATTGAAAAAGTTCTGCGATTCTGGGAAATTCAAATTTAAATGTATACTCTGTGACTGTGATATGCAATAAAGCAAGTTTGACACAAATGACAGTTTCCCTGTGGGTTGATTTTCCGTACTTTTATTGTCAGTGATTTTTGGCAAATAAAAACTAACCTTATTACCTTGAAACAAATAAGTTTTGAATAGTCAGTAGAATCATATGTAGCACTATCATGTTCAACAAGTAAATATACATCTGATTAGTAATGCGCTCCTGGAAACCCGAGATTGTATTTTTAATAAAAATGTTCTAAGAAGCCACTTCCATATTTTGTTAGCGATATAACTTCAGGTAAATATGGATCTGATTATCCGATCTCTACTTACAATACATTTAAAATTTTTAGATCTCATTAAGACAGTATATACAAACAAAGAAAAGAAAAAAACTAAGGGTAATGGTAAAAATGGCCAAATCTGTGAAGAGTGTGGAAAGTCAGTTATAAACCTCAAAGACCATATAAGTAGGCACCAGTCTATAAGTGAACGAAAATGCATAAAATGCAAAGTCTGTGATAAATTATTTTCCAGTTATAGTGCAAGATATAGACATCACAGAGTTAAGCATTTAGGAATAAAGCAACATTGTGATATCTGTAATAAAGGTAAGAAATTAAAGATTTTTTAGTAATACAAAATATTCTTTATATTTTAATTTATGTTTCATTCAAGTTTGCATGAATACTTAAAAGCGTAGATGGGCTGCATTTTTTCCATACAAATCTATTCGTCTATTCCTCTACTCTCTTCCTGAACAATGCCTCTAGAGTAATCATTTTTGTTTATAAAAATCAAGGTCTATTAAAGGCATGCCCCTGTCATTTATGTTTTTCCGAAAAATTATTACAAAAATGAATGACTCCAAAAACCAAAAAAATGTCACATTTTTACCTGCATAATGAGACAACTACCAACGAAATTTGTAAAGTTTTTAAGGAACAACAAATGAAGGAGCATAGATCTATTCTTCTTTTAAATTTTGATACCAAAAATAATTTAATCGGCTTAGTTTTCGTGAAGAAAACAGGGGAATATGAAATGTCGATCGGTCATAGTTTTTGTAGGTAAAATTGTTCTAAGCTGCAGTTGTTTCTATCTCACTCAATGGGGAGACACCAGAGGTGAGAGAGAGTTAGAGTAATACTACGTACTATTTCTGCCTCATTGGTTTAGTGGTAGTAGTAGTGCGATTGCCGATCATGAGGTCCTGGGTTCAAATCCCGGGTCGGCCCAAAAAAATCAATATTGAGTTTTCCGTCGAGAAATTCTCAGTAGCTGCCCGGAGTCAGGTCAGGTTCCGTGCCTCGAAAAGCACTTAAAGCGTTGGTCCTGTGCCTGATCTCTTTCTGGTCGTCTCGGTTTACCGTCTCATCAGAATATGAGGGTGAGGGAGTAAATCATCTTCTTTATTACAACTGAAAATATAAAACTGCATTTGGCAACCTGCCTGCCAAGTGTGGCAACTATGGCAAAATTACCTCTATGATGCAATCTATTTGGAGGTCTATGTTCAGCAGTGGACTTTAAATAGGCTGCAAGAGTACTAGATGTATTCTGATTACAGGTGGATAGTGATTGTAACCTTGTCTTTAAGGTTTTATACGAATACAACTTTTACTTTAACCATATTTCAAAAAGATTAGTTATTGTTTCACTATGGCTACAATGCATTTTAATAATGATATCCTCCCATCAGTATAACACACCACTGTTTTATATATTATACGAGGGTGGATTGAAAAGTACTCGGCCTAACCAAGAAAATAAACACATACTAAATCAGTTATATTTTTATTTTTCTACATAATCACCATCAAGTTCAATACACTTTTGCCACCTCCCCTTCCAAGCATTTAGACCGTTGAAAAAAAAATGATTCTTCCTTAGAGTCAAAATATGCGTCTACAGCTGCTTTGACCTCGTCGTTTGTCGAAAATCTTTGACCTCCCAAGTGCTTTTTTAGGTTAGGGAACAGAAAGAAGTCTGATGGTGCCAGATCAGTTGAATACGGCGGATGCGGTAACAGTTCAAAGCCACAGTTGTGAATTTCAGCCATTGACTGTACTGACGTGTGAACACGGGCGTTATCTTGATGAAACAGGACTTTTCTTCTGAGCATTCCTCGACGTTTTTCTTTTATTTCCTTTCGTAAACGACGTAGTAAGGTGCAGTAGTAATCAGAGTTTATAGCCTGACCCCTTTCAAGATAATCAATCATAATCACACCTTTCGAGTCCCAGAATACTGAAGCCATCACCTTATTTGCCGACAAAATCGACTTAGCCTTTTTAGGGGGTGGTGAACCAGGTCTTCTCCACTGTTTTGATTGTTGTTTTGTTTCCGGTGTACAGTAATGAACCCATGTTTCGTCCATAGTAACAAAACGATTCAAAAAGTCATCTGCATCGGCTTCAAATAACTCCAAACAGTCGCGTGAAATAGTCAATCGCGTCCTTTTTTGTTCAACTGAAAGCAGTCTTGGAACCCACCTCGCAGACACCTTGTGGAAACCCAACTCGTTGACAATGATGTTTTGAGTTCGTTCATAAGAGATGCCTATAATCTCGGCTATCTCTCTAATTTTTAATCTGCGGTTTCCCATTATTAAATCAAGTACTTTTTAAATATTTTTGTTAGTAGTTGACGTCGAAGGCCTTCCAGAACGGGGTTCATCTTTCACACTCTCTCTACCACGCTTAAATTCTGCTATCCATTTTTTGACGGATGAATATGACAGAGCACAATCGTCTAATGTACTGACCATGTCATCATGGATGGCTTTTGATGATAGCCCCTTCTTATGGAGGTACTTAATGACGGCACGCTGCTCGATTTGCTCCATTCGCGGAAATTATGTCCGATTACTTTGTTAATAAATTTATAAAATCACAACTAATTATCGCACACGTTTCGAACTTCACACAATGAACTAGTCTGAACTGAACTAAATAATGTGGGTAGATTTGATTTTTAGAATTGAATGGATCTGTGTTAGGCCGAGTACTTTTCAATCCACCCTCATACAAGTACACTTTGTGCAAGTTTTAAGATATATCTCCATTTAGAACTAGAGTATGAAACCTAATCATGCTTAAATTAAATATTGTGTTCAAGAACTTTCGTTGTGTTGAAACTTTCGTTGTAAAATGCAATTTTTTTATTTTGAGATGTGGTACCTCTGACCCAAGTAGAAACAGCAAAGAAATTTTTGAAATATTTGAAATTTTTTAAGATTATAATATTACAGTCAACAGATCTGCGGATTAAGTGCGGTCTAGGTTACCAACGTCCCACTTATATGTACTAATGCCAATAGACAGTAGTACCGGTAGCTCTAGTTGGCATGAAGTATTTTTTTACTATTTCAGATGTAACTAGCCTCAAAGTGCATCACCTTGTAGTGCACAATACTAAGGAGTTACCATATGAGTGTGTGCCATGTGGAAGGCGATTCATATCTCAGTCTACACTCGACATGCACACAACTATACACACAAAGGATCGACCGCACTGCTGTGATCAATGTGATAAGAAATTTCGGAATAAGATTACCATGATTCAACATAAGTATGATAAACTTTTATATTTTTTTTTGTCTAGTGATTCTCGTAGTCTACTTATACGTAGGGTGTGATGGGCTGACGGATACTCTTACATCTTCTACACAGAGAGAGTATTCATCATCATCATCATCACAGCTTTTACAAGTTCACTGCTGGACATAGGCTTCTCTAAAGGAACCTTCTGCATGTCTTACCAGGTCGTTAACCTAGCTAGTGGGGAGCCGCCCTATACTTTTCCCACTAATCTCTAACTTAATACTTTAATCTATAACTTATCTTTCCTAATGGTTGTCGGTTCTTCAGCTATATGACCGGCACATTGCACATCATTGGTCTAATAGATTAGCAAGGTGATGAAAGAATATTACTCAGCATAATTATTAATTACGGTCAATTAAAACATATAACAATAAAACCACTTTACCGTGAACTATTTTCCATACCTTAGTGAAGACCTCTGCTATTAGTTAATAGTTAGTATTAGTAGTTAATATAATATATTTAATATATTGTTAATATACTAAATAGAAAATGTACAGGTGTACGTGTAGGATTTTTATTTTATTTAATAATAAAAATAAGAAGAGTCTTGTCTCTATAAATGTTTCCTCGGTTTTAGAGCTTTATATTTAGAGATGATAACAAAAGACTTGATTGTATGACTTTGGTCCCTTGGGAGAAATGTAAAGCTCTAGTGTGGGATGTACCTACATAGACACTATGGTAGCTTCTCATCTCACGAGGTACCTCGCTTAGAGCTGGGTTGGTATCAGAAGTACCTGAACTAAGTAAGTGATGAAGATAATTATGAGTCTGGGAGATGACTACACATTTGTGCAATTTGCTGTAGAGACTATCGGTCTGTGGGGTTCCTAAAGGAATTGTATCTGTGACTGGTCATCGCTGCTGGTAATAAGAGGGCTGGTACTTTTCTCGCTCAAAGTCTAAGTATAACCATTCAGCAAGGAAACGCAGCCAGTGTTCTTGGCACGATACCACGGGGGGGTAGGTTTATCTGTTTAAGTTTTCGGCTAGAATGTGAATTTAATAATTATTCTGTTTACTAGGCCGTAATTCTAGTGCTAAAGATAACAATGACTATTTTTAATTTCTTTAAAATATAAAAATATTTTTTTTTCTTCACAGGCGGCAAGTGCATGACAAAGAGAGATCGCATCTGTGTCAATTTTGTTCTAAGAGTTTCTTCAAAAAGTATCATTTGCAGATACATTTAAGGTAAGCTGTCATGTGTTATCATCAGTTATATTTCTTTAATTATTATTACTTAAGCGGGTATTATTTATATATTATATGATATTATTGTTTGTCACTGAATTCCATCAAAAACCTAGGCCCCTTTTAAGTTACTAGAAATTTGAAATTTGGCATCAAGTTCTGGAAAAAAACTCTGTAAACCACAAATTATTGTCAGCTTTGCCGATAAATCAACAGAGATCTGAACAGTACACCTAATGTTAGGATAATTATAGGAATACACGAGCAGGCGTATTACTTAAAAAAAATTGGTTGTCTGTAGAGTCGGTTTACGGACGATAGTTTAACGTGACAACGTCATAACAAAACATTGATGAAATGACGAAGGCACGCTCAAGCCGATCGTGCCTTTGGCTCGCTCGTGCAGCGCTCTCGCTCCGATCGTAACGTTACAATGAGCGTAACGTTACAATGAGTCATCATTTTTCGTGCGTGCAGCCGGCGTTCATCAATTTATACGTTGTCACGTCAAAAGAATTTTATAACATACTTTGCTTGCCAAGTGTCTTTAGGAACGCAAAGCTGATAGCCACATTGCAGCTATGTTATTGATGTAATTTGAATTTGTTGGATCGACCGGGGAAGGACCACCCTTTTTCAGAATAGTAGTGTAGTCCCGAGGCATTCCATCGTAGTTCTCAGGGGTATCCTTGCATCTGCATCTAGTCTAGATCGTTTTAAAGCATCGAAGGTGCAAGACGTCTGACACTGTAGTCATCAATTTATCTGCCGAGTGTGACAATTACCGTAAATCCTCTCTACAACGGCAGGATTCATCAACTTCTTTCATCATAATACAAGGAGCAATGCTTGCACGTAAGGTTAATAATTGATATTTACAATAAAAGTTAACATATTCCGGGTAAAAAGTTTGTTTTAAATTCATATTCACTTAAATATACTTTTCAAATAAAATGTAAAAAAAGGTTGTGTTTAAATTACTTATGGAAAGCCTATATAAATTCTAGTATCTTCTTTATAGGAGCCATACAAAAGAAAAGCCATTTCAATGCAGCGAATGTAAAAAGTGGTTCTCCTCCCGAACCTCACTGAATAACCACCAACTTATCCACAACGACGTCAAAATGTTCGGCTGTACTCAGTGCGGTATGACATTCTCAAAACCAGGGTAAGGTTATAATAAATTACGTTATTTTTTTAAAATTATCATATTATATTCATTCATAAATATTTCCTTTTTTTAACGTAGGTACAGCGTTTTTTGGTGTAGTTGCTAGTAAAAAATTTAATCTATGAAATACCGATTTATTTATATTTTAAATATTTCAGTTACTTACGTAAACATATGATAAGTCACACCAAAGAGAAGCGATACTCATGCAAATATTGCGGAGCCCGCTACGGACGCTCGGATCATTGCAAGCGGCATGAGTTCTCGGCGCATGAACGAAGTCATGGCTTAATGCTAAAGAAATAAGTGCTATATTTATGTAACAAAGATTATTGAGTTGAGCCTAATATTTTGTACATTTCTTAGGTAAGTATCCAATGTTATCTTTCTTAAGTTTATATTAATGTTAATTATTTAGAATTTGAATCTTAATATGAATGGTTGCAAATATTATACTAAAAAATCTATTTTTATGCCATGTAGTATGTCTATACAATATGTAATAAACACCATACCTCAATGAAATTACAAAAACATATTATTAAGGAAAATAAATATGTTATTGTTTTTATAATACATGTTTTCCCCATAGATATAAGAAAAATAGAGGATAACAGATTATGGTCGCGTGATCTGAAGTGTTTCTTCAAATATGCCGACCTCGCCCACAACAAATAGTGTTGTACTCATTTTTTTGATGTTTTCAATATCGATGTTAAATGATGATGTATTTTTCTTCTTATCCTCTCAACTGCGGATGTCCAAGACTTGGACACGAAAATATCTCCGTTGACTGCGGGCGTCCAAGTGTTAAACATTTTTTACCCGCTCTTTTAATGAAGAAACAAAGCATTATGCGCTATTTCTAACTCATTCTACCATATGTCAATGTGTACAGGATAAAAAAAGGCTAGCATAAAAACCCCACAGCTTATACACTTTAGTAGTATATTTTATTTAAATCATTCTTAAATGTCGTCCGTTCCTTGAATCAGCCATTAATGTGATTGACGCGCGCTAACAACGAAGTTGTTTGTAATTATTTTGTATTAATTTATATTTATTGTGTGGTGAATTGTGTTAAAACAATGCCTGGGTAAGTAATCTTATTTGTAATCTCATTTTGTGTTTTATCTTATTAAGTACGTGTAAAATCGTTTTTTAATATGTATGAAGCAAACAGCTATCTTAAAACTAACATGCTGGTTGAGGAAAGTTGACTTGAAATGTACGTAAAATTTTATTGTTGACTGTCAGTTTTGTGTTAAAATATGTATAATTGTTCATCGTTCACAGTTTTAGTACATCAAAATGTGGATAAAGTGCAATATTTTTAAAATTTTAATGTATATACGCAATAGGTGCAATAGTGTCCATTTTTGAGACGTCCATAGAAGTGAATTCTAGTTCTCTGTTTTGCGGGTGGCGAAAAAAGGAACTAAAGTTTGCCATACTGCATCAAGTTCAAATTCGTTTGAATGGTTAGAATGGTAAAGAATCTAGCGCCCTCGAGCAGAGAAATGGAGCTTGGTTGACTCCACGATTATTCGATGATTTATAAAAAATTGAATGTGGCATTTGGATATGTCATGTATGTTAACACAAGACTTCGGAATTTTTTAAACAATTTATTAAAACAGAAAGTTAGATAGTATTTACATAATATGCTTTTTAATATTTTTTAATATTTAATATTTGAAATTTTTATTTTTTTAATTTAATATGAACAGGTTGTAGTTTTTAAGGTCACCTCAGACACATATTTCTTATACTGGTTTTTTTTAATGTACATTTTATCTGTATGTATTTTGCAAATCGTGTAACGTTGCGTTATGTTTCAACCTATAGCAAGATTGCTGCTACCTACAGTACCATTCGTAAATGAATTGTACTGTAGATACAGTAAATCCAACAAGTACCAGGAGACTTTTAAAGAAATAAGTACCTATGTTATACATTTATTCAATTTTATACTTATGTCTATCCATCCATTTAGTTTTTATTGTTGCCAAGCTATAACTTGTCCAGCTAATTATTTCAGACTATCATCGTCGAAATTGTTAAGTTAGTTAAGTTACACAGCCCATTTCCGTCCCACTGCTGGGCCTTCCCTCACTTCTGAAAGGGTTTTACGGCAAAGAACTATCCACCGCGCTGCCCATATGCGTGTTGGCGAACTGCACATGCCTTGGAAATATTTTTTTTTATTTATCAGACAGTTAGACTTCGTCATGATGTTTTCCTTCACCGGCGAGCAAAGGTAAATCAGCACTTAAAATTGCAATTAATAATTTCATTGATGCCGGCGGGGATCGAACCCGGTGTGCTAGCGTACTGTGAAATTTAACGCGAGAGCTAACAATCTGAGCTACCAGGGCTCTCTCATCGTCGAAATGAATACTTAAGTTAGTTAAGTTACAGCCTTTTTTACGCCCCACAGCTGGGCAAAGGCAAATAAGTTTCCGTCGCGCTGCCCCAATGCGTATTGGCGAACTTCACATGTCTTCGAAATATTTTTTTTCTTATTTCACAGACGTGCAGGTTTGTTTGTTTTTTTTTCTATAGGATAGGGTGACAAACGAGCACGCAGTCCACCTGTGGTGCTTGCTGCGGCCCAGAGACATCTACATCTATCCTCCATTACAAATAAAATGCAAAAATGCGTGTCACCCGTGAGGACTAAGATGGAACGCCTCGTTTCCAGCAAAAAGGCTCTCCGATTCTCTACACTCACCGTACGAAACACAGAAGTATTAAGCTATTATTTCACGCTGGTATTCTGTGAGAGCGTGGTCCTTCCCCGGTCGAGCCGGCCTATTCGTGCTACAACTATACTACTAATATAACTGCAGCATGGCTCTACCACGTATAAAAAATGTTTTAATGAACTAGTACATGATGCACAAAACAGTGCAGAATCGAACTTTAATTGTGGCATATTTTTGTATAATGCATAAGAAGTGGGTTCTTTGAAAATATACATAAATAGTATTTTTTTATTTCAGAAAGAGATATATTTATTTTAAATTTTATTATTTCGTAGCTATTGTTTATGTTAAAGGAAATATGTTACCGTTTGGAGAAATAATGTTATTGGTTATTGGAAATGTAACATAACCGCTGCGCACCTCGAGGCGCCTCTGTCACTCGACACATATTATGGTGCATCGGGTATTGTTTACAAAAAACGTTATTTATAACTTTACATCAGCGGGAGTGACTCTTGAGTGCTTTTATGGTTTTTAAAGGAATCAATGAATCTTTATTTCTGTACAGGTGCTGTTAAAGTTTGTTTGCTCAAATAAAGTAATTAATTTTTCAATAAATATGGCACTTACGACTAAAATTTTGATATCGGCATTAAGAGTACTTATGAAATACTTTATCGGATTTCTAAAACTTAGCAAGACCAATTGAAAGATGACTGAATCATGTAAAGAAAAAGAGAGATTTAAGACTGAATCATTGTAATGAAATAAAAAAAAACTATTTTTATTGACTAAAGCATTACGCCGCATTATGCTGCATCTGGTCCGAACTACATGCTACATCGGTGTAAATTGATTGTGGGTTCTTGTAAGCTTATTATTAATGCGTTTTACGATAAAAATTGTATTTTAGCCTATGATTTTGCACATAAAATATTGTAAAAAATAGACCTAAGATTAAAATAAAACAAAATTGAACTATTAAAAAACTTTGTGTCATTGAGAAATATGATAGTTTTGACTTTATTCTATATTTAGTTATACTAACTACTTTAAACTTTATTAAATATATGTACTCGTTTATAGGAAATTTCATAGAGAATTCAGAAATGTATACATATTATAGTATTCGATATACCAAAATCAAGATATTTGCGTTTAAACGGATTGGGCCCAATCAGCCGTCCATTTTATTAAACAGCTCCGCAGTCAACGGAGAATTACGGTTAGTGTCTCCGCAGCTGAAAGGCTATAGGTATATATTAAATAAACAAATAATAAATCACTACACTATTATATTAGGTTAATCCTGTAATAATAGATGTATTTCGTCGGTGAGCGTGCATGACCGTGTATGAGCAGTTTGTAAATACCGCATGTTGTGGTATTTAAGGTTCACTATTTTTATAGGGACTGATCACAGAAACAAGGTGTCAATGATACGGTGTTTTAATTGCTACTGAACATTCAATTACATTTTACCTTAATATTTTTAAGACCTCAGTCACACATGCTTCCTGTTTATCTTACATACAACACATATGCATTACATTATTGCTCGAAAATGCCGCCCACCAAAGGACTCATAAAGTCCTTTATTACTTAACATGCTACATTAACATTTCATACACACTCTAAATATAATAATTTTTACATGACATTTGTTATACAATAAACATGTGTACATACATTTGACAAAGGTAACGCTCAAAATTCATTAAGCTTTACGAGTAACAGACATATTCAAATAAAGTGATTAAAAGAAATAAACAATTTGATACAATTTTGTTGTAAATGTGAATACATACGAGTACTAGAATATTTCATAGAATTAATACATGCATAAAATAAAATTTTGCACAAACTTTTAGACATATTTGAGGAAAGATTTTTTGTTGTTTGTTTGAATTCAATAGGCTCTGAAACTACTGAACCGATTTGAAAAATTCTTTCACCATTAGAATCCTACATTATTCCTGATGAACATAGGCGATAGAACGTTTTAAAAAAATTTAGGGATCCGTATGAAAACTTCGTTAATGTAACCCAAGGTGTGAAAAAAATACCAAAAAAAACCTTATATCGCGTACGCTGCGGAAACTATTGACAATAGAGCAAAGTGATGTGCTACAGTTTTATGGAGGACATCAATATCTACATAAAAGTCTGCAATACCATATGTCTAACTATTATAGTTATCTCACAATAACTACTTTTCATCATACTTATCATTATCTATACTTATATCCCCCATTTTTTAAATAAATTTTTTTTTTTTTTTTTTTTTTTTTTTTTTTTTTTTTTTTTTTTAGGGGGGTGGTGTAAAAAAAAATTTTTTTTTTTAAATTTTTTTTTTTTTTTTTTTTTTTTACTTTTTTTTTTTTTTTTTTTTTTTTTTTTTTTTTTTTTTTGGTACTTTTATTTATACTTTCTGTGGTGATGGTACAATATTATAAAGAGGAAAGATGTTTTTGTTAGTTTGTTTGTACCAAATAAGTCCGAAACTACTGGACCGATTTTAATCAATTTTTACCAATAGAAAGCTAAATTATAGGGGGAGGGGGAGAGGGTGAGTGGATAAAATTAAAATTTTCTGTA